ATGGGCTCAGCCTAGGGACACACTGGGGAGGTGGGCTCAGCCTAGGGACACACTGGGCCTGGACTCAGGAGATAGGCCTCATTGTTTGCATTTTCCTGGGCACCAACAGACTTATTCATCCCCTTCCTGCATCCGCGGCCCTCACGCTCTCCTGTCCGTAAAACACCCATCCACATTCCGGAGTTTTTTGGGGTTTGGGTTTTTGTCCCCCCAGTTCTTTCTTTACCGTCAGGATTCCATGACTCCATGTGTTCTGTTTCTAGGCCTTCCATCTTTTGTCTGGCATACATACCATATGACCCAGCCATGACCAGCTCAATAGAGGCCTGCGTCTCAGTAGATTACCCAAGGGCAGTACCTGGTTCCAAGAAAGACCACAAGCTGAGACCACCCAGGCACCACCCAGGAACAGACCATCCAAAGGAAATCCTACCGTTCCAACCATTGTAGACAGGATCACCTGCCTTCACACACCCATCGCTTTTCACCAGGATACCCCTAGACAATTGTCAGCCAATCAGGGGTCCTGAACCTTCGAAATCTCATACCCCCACCTTTGCTACTATAGAAACCAAATGAACTCTCCGATTACTCCAACATGTTGGGCACACGAGTCTGAGTTCACAAACTCTTATAATAAAGGCACTTTGCTTTTACATACAGGACTTGGTCTCCTAGCTGGTTTTTGGGGGACTCCGTGATCTGGGCAGAACACATACCTTTTCCCCCCTAGTTTATGGCTTATCTTTTAGTTTTTTTTTTTTCAGATTCTCCAATGAACCAAGATTCTAAATTTTAATATAGGTGAAATTATAAGCATTCAGTGACTTGTGATGTATAGTTGTTTTATTGAGACAGCGTGTTTTCCTGGCCATCCTGGAACTCACTGTGTAGACCAGGCTGGTCTTAAACTCACAGAGCTCTCGCCTGCCTCTGCCTCCTGTGAACAAGCAATGGAGGTGGTGAATATGACTGGAACACATTATATACTTGTGTGAAATTGTCAGTTAACTAAGGAGAGAAAAGAAACTCCCAACCCCACAATCAAAGATGTGCTTTATTCCATTTTCTGCAGGTGGATCCCCACCCACAGGGCTGCTGCTGGTTAGGGACCTGAGTTCCAAGACAGAATGGGCAGTCCCTAAATATGCCACATTATTCCCCCATTGCTAGTAAGACTCCAGAAGGGCCATACACAATCGTGGGGACCCTGTTCCTGTAAACTGGGGTAAATCTCCACTATAGTCTGCTTTCAAGCTCCCAGCTCCAAGCAACTACCACCAGCACCAACATCTCAGCTTGGGCTCTACGTCCAAGGTGCCAGCAAATCCAAGGCCGCAGGCATCCACGGGGAGACAGCGGCAGCCCATCTTGAAGAAATCTCAGAGCCCAGCTGCTCTATCAGATGGGACGTCCTCTGAATACAGTGGCGGACACACAGCTGTTCACCACATGCCAGGATCTGCCAGGGACCAATCTCCCAGCTCATGACAAATCCTCCTGTCAAGATCACAAAGCAGGGCATTGTGACCCTGTGTTAGCCCGTGTCTCCCAGGGTAAATCTCCAAACCGAGAAGACCGGCCCAGAACACTGCGGACAAAGGAGCCACAGTTGGGCTGGGCTTGAAAGGAAAGCAACTTGAGGAGCGGAAGCTCACTCTCCTCCGCTACCAGGTCCACACCCACCTCCCAGGGAGGGGTCAGAATCTCGCAGCGGTGTAAACTCGCCCCGCAGCTCTGAGCTCGCGAAGGCGGGCCTGCTCCCAGGAAGGTTACAGACACCTGCCCTGGCCTGATTTTCCTGTTCTGCCTCTTAAGGCTGCCAGAAAACACTTGATAAATACGCCAGCGCTCTGGCCTTTGAGCCAGGTCTGGGGGACGTTCTTAAACTAAACCAGAGAGAAGTCAGGTGACCCTTCAGTCTCTGCCTTTCTACGCAGTCTGATTTTTAAGGACCCCGGAGGGAGGGTTGGAGGACGGCCCACCTAAGGTCTAACCCCCTGAGCTGGGTGCTGCTTGAGTTCTAAATTCAGGTCTCCGGAAAGAAGACGTGTGGCAAGGGTTGGGGTGGGGCCGGGGAAGCTGCTGGCATACCGGGGAATTGAAGGGACTTACTGGCAAATGTTGCATTTAATGGGTGTTTTCAAACACCAATAGCAAGAAGGCTTTTTCTTCTTTCCTTCCTTCCTTTCTCTCTCTCTCTCTCTCTCTCTCTCTCTCTCTCTCTCTCTCTCTC